CCCCCCGCCCCCCCCCCCTCTCCCCCCCCCCCAACACTGGGAATCCATAAAGGCCGTTGTATCTGAACACATGCAGTCATGGACTTCCTTCACCCACGGGCCAGCTCCCTCTTCTAAAGCTGCAAGGGCCAAAAGAAGAGCCTTCAAAGCAAAAAAGATGCAAATGCACCAGAACCAGGAAACCCCCTCAGTTCAAACCCATGAGGATCCCCCACCCCAACCCCCCCAGGAACTGGCCACCCACAAACTGGGCTACTATCGCATCCCCATATCACTTTCCAGTTTCCATACTGGGCGTTTTATTTATTGGCTTGGTTTCTCTACCGCCCCGTCGCTCGGGGTGATTCTGGAGGAACAACACGCCCTAAAAACAACACAATCAACGTGCCATGAATTCATTAGTTTAAATTAAATAAATGTTTCTACTGTTTTATGCCCCCTGGGGCCCTCTTGAGGAAAAAAGGTGTGTGTGTGCAGGGGGGGAGGGGTTACTAACAGTTTATATTTTTAAATATTCAATTAAATTAACCATTTACATTAAACTATTTAAATTATTAACTATTAAGCCGCCTGGTGAAGACCTCACCCATCCCTTCCATAAATATAACTTGGAATTAAAAAAAATATGAATTTAAATTTTAAAAAAAGGGAAGGCCCGGTGGAAGATGAGGGGGGGAGGGCTTTCAAGGGTCCCATTTTGCCCCCCACCTATTTTAATTATTTATTCATTTATTTTTGCAGGGAACAAGGAAGGGCAGGAAAAGCAGCCACTGCCTTTAAACCCAGCCACCCCCCGTAGAAGAACCCGGATTGCGGTCCTCAGGCGTCCCCTGTGAAGGGGGCGGCCCCGGCCAGGTGAGGAGATGGGCCAGGAAGGGCCCTGCCCCGTTGCATCCTGGGAAACTCAGAGCGAAACCCCCCCTCCGCTCCCCGCTCACCTGGGCTCGGGCGGCCTCACTCTCACCTTCGACGCCGCTCCCAAATCCCAGGCCTTTAAAACGGAGAGGTCGCCGGGAGGCAGGTAAGGGCCGGAGGGCGGGGCTTCGCACCACCGCCACCAATGATGTCCCCCGTTCTCTTCCTCCGGGTTGGCCCGCCCCCTCTTCTCTCCGCCAATGGCTGCGCAGGAAACGGCGGTTTCTTTTCTTTTTTGTTTGTTTGTTTGCTTTTTTTCCTCCTGCCGCCTGACGGAGCCGCCGCGAGGAGGTGGCGCGACGGTGGGCTGGTCCCCGGAACACCACAGCCGAGGGACGGGATTGGACGGAGTCCCTTCGTGACGCGAGGGGCGGGCGTGGTCTCCCGAGGGAGAGCCAGTCAAGGAGGCAGCTTCTTCTGAAGAGCGGGGAGAGGGGGCGGGGCCAATGGTGGCGCGAGCTGTTCTGAGGGAAAAGGGATTGAGGGCGAATGTGGGCGAAAGGCGCGGCGGGGGGGGGAGGGGAGGAAGCGGATTCCTGAGGGAAACGTGATTCCTGCGATATAGCCTCTGTTCGTGATATTGAGGGCTTTTAATTATTTTAATTTATTTAAATGGACGACGGCTTCTCCAATGGCTTCAAGGGAAAGGGCTTCCTGACGTTCCTCCTGCCGTTACCTTTACGACAACCCTGTGAGGGAGGCCAGCCGTCGCCCACGGGTCGAGTCGGAGCTGTCTGTCTACGGGCTGTAAAAGGCTACATGCATGTCGTTGAATCTTGGGAGTGAAAAATAGGCCAAAAAAGGGAACACTTCATTGCAGAAAAAAAAAATGAAGAAGCGCAAAGGTGAACACTTGGTGGAAAAAAAATGTGCAAAAAGGAACACTTCATTGCAAAAAAATGCGAAAAGTGAAAAGTTGTTGCAAAAAATGGTGCTAAAAAGAACACTGCATTAAAAAAAGATTTAAAAACACTCCGTTGTAAAAAAAAAGTGGTTCAAAAAAGGAACACCTTGCGACAAGGAGATGATGCAAAAAGTGAATAGTTTGTTGGGGGAAATGGTGTAAATATGAACACTTCATTGCCAAAGAAATGCAAAAAGTGAACATTGGTGCAAAAAAGGAGCATTGAGTTGCAAAATATGTCACAAAAGTGAACACTTCATTACACCTATTTTCCAGGTACTTCAATTTCATCGTTATCCTTCAGAATACTGGTTTGCTATTGCATGCAAGCCTGACAGATCTCTGTCATGGTCTTCTCACTCATCCCTCTCTTGTATGGAAAGTGCTCATGTTTTTTTTACCAGAATTCTGAAGTCTAAAGAAGTCTAAATTCCCCCCCCCGCCTTGCCTCCCCTTTGTCATCATCTTCTCATTCGTCCCTCTCTTGTATGGAAAGTACTCATGTTTTTTTACCAGAATTCTGAAGTCCAAAGAAGTCTACATTCCCTGCCCCCCCCAAAAAAAATCCTAAGGTAATGGTACCACCACAATCACCAGCAAGAAAAGAAAGTATTTGTACAGGTTTGAGCTTGCCCTTTAGCCCACAATTAGCTGTTTTCCGGTTCCCCTAATCTCACCCTGCAGAAAGCATTTGGGATCCTGGTGATGAAGAAGTGAAATGCCTTACTTGGAGGAAATCACCCCCTATGGCCCTGATTACAACGGCAGCGATCTGGTGGCAATTTTTGATAATTAAAGTTCCATCACAAGGGAAGGGGATGGAAAGCTTTCATTTGGGTTAAATTAATTATTTCCAGCATTGGATCAGTTTACTCACATTTTTATGCAACACACACTGTCATAGCTTTATTCAACAGGCTTTTGCCCAGTGATTGCACAATTAGTTAATATGTTGGACTCATCATTAGACAAATTATTTTATTCTAAAAACCTCTGGGATACTTCATGCATCAGGCATCCTTCAGTCTCGAGAGACTATGGTAATGTGCTCTGTATGGAGGACTTGGAACAGCATCTAGTGTGGCTGAGGAGGCCGATTCAGGAGTGGCGATCCCTTTCCGTGTTGTTTTGACGCTGTATGCGAAGCTGGAGTGTCCTCTCCAGAGCACGAAGCCTGGGTAAAATAATATGGAGGATAGGCTGTTACCCAAGCAGCAAATCCCCCCTCTCCAAGTTGCTGAAATAGTCCAATGGAAAGGCAAGAGCCAATACTGTACAATTGGTACCAGCAACATCACAGGAGTTGGCAAAATGACACGAACTGCCTCCGGGACTCCGGCTCTGAATTTTGCCTCGAGGTTAACTCCTGAAGCCTTTTCCATGAGTGGCTATAGCCACAAGGCAGTGGAGGTTTGAAATCGGAGTTTTCCTTTTCCTAGATGGGCTGCCTTCCAAGGCTGACGAGCCTGTTGGCTCGTCAGCCTACACTATATCTCATGATAGAGTGATGAATCAGAGCTCAGGAGGCCTGAGTTCAGATCCCTGCTCAGCTCATGGAAATTCACTGGAGGTGTGGAAGTGTATAACCACTCCTTAAATATTTCTGTTACCTTGAAGACCCTATTAGGGTTCTTACTTGATGGCACATAATAAGAACAGTTCTGAGATATGGACACCTAGTACCTGGCATTATCAGAATGGAGAAAGATGTTTATCAGTGCTTTCAAACTTATCCTGTTTTGAGAACACTGTAAGCAAAATGATCTGTTACCATATTGCCATACACAAGTGGGTGATGCAGCTTACTCTGAAGAAATGCCTTGTGGATTTATTTCTAATAAACTTGTGTCTGGGCAAAGCTGTTTCAGTACAGTAACGGCAAAACATTGTGCCTAGCAACATAAGGCAGTGCAAACAACCTTACACGTTTTACAACAAATGGCTTAACAGAGAAATATTGCGACCTTTCTGTTTTTCTTGAAAGAAAATGCAGTTGACTTGATCTTCTAATTCCTAATTTGCTTACAGATAAGCTGGTCTTTGAATTCTTGAAGAAGTAATTAGGAGACCTGTCCCTACAGTGCTCATGGAAACCTTCACAACATTTCTTAAGGTATGACATGCATTTATTCTGTTTTCCCATCCCTGTCAACTCCCTCCCCATTGCTAAGTTCTTCTAGTGACAATTAGTTCTATTCATTTTGATGGCACATGTGCCGGAGTTTCTAAATAAGGAGGTGTTTCAGTCTGTCTCAACCTGTTGGCAGAATTAAAGGGAAAGCTATTTTAATTGAGGACAAAATATTGGTATTGCTGTAAACTAAATACATTTATTTCAGTGTGAGTTTCTGTGGATCAAAATCCACTTCTGCAATCTTAAAAGACCACAAAAGCATTCACTGAAACAAATTTGTTAGTCATTAAAGTGTCACAATATTTTGTCATAGTTTTTTTTCTTGCCCCCCCACCCTTAAGTTTATGCTTCCAGTATCTAACTTCTAATTTGCTACCACAGCAAATTTAGTTTGGCTTCTCAATGCTTTCCTGGAAATGAAGACTCTCTGTCACCTGCCATTTAAGCCTTGCCTTCCCACTGTGGCATGCAAACTCCATATTAATTGCCATCAATAACAATAAAATAATTGCCTGCAATCACTCCCCAGGAGTAGTGTGAGCTTCACTGCCACTTGCTACACTGAATGAGTTTCTCTGTCTTGCCACTTTCTGATGTATCTTTGGCACCATTTCTCTTTTAGATTCATCTTGCTATTAAAGCACATCATTTAGCCAGGGCTGTGTCCTTCATGTTCTTAATTACTTGAAATTAAGACTGACGAAATGCTGTGATAGTCAGGTACAATGCAGAGTCCTACCTTCATCGATGTATATCATACAAGATGAAGTCAGTTCCCCCTCCTTTGTCAAGGTAATCTCTAAAAGCAAGCATCTCAGCATGTACATCACTGAGGACCTACACTAAATCACAACACACTCTTCCTTGTTAGAAACCAAATCCATTACGACGCATGCCAAATTTCTCATGCACAACAGGGTATAATTTATAAATCATACGCCATGAGTATTTACTCTTCTTGTCAATTCTTTTTCCTACTGCCGAAGCAAACCATTTGCCCCCTTTAAACAGAAGGCATTGGAGCAGCATTTAAGGTTTTCTTATGAAAAAGAAAAAACAACTACACACAGCTATGAAGCAAGGCAGACTCTGACCAGCTGGACAGGCTGATGTGGGAAGACTGGACATCTGTTACAACACACAGTCAGCAGGGAGCCTCTGATTCCGTAGGGGTTTTGCTTTTGGTTTTGTTGTTGTTGATTGTTTGGTTTTGTATACAATCACCCAGATTAATGGATTTTCACTAAGAAGGGTGGTACAAATATGCATTAAACAAACAAACATGGGGTGGGCAAAGTGCCATCCATTATAGCAGAACATTTTTTCAACAAAAATATGTATGTCTAGTCCTGGAGGTGCCTACAAGAAGCGGTTTTTGCATTGGGGGAAATCACAGCTGATTCGGAGAAGACCCCAAGCTCACAAAAATTAAAACTGGAAGCAGATTGGGGACTTTTGGTTTTGAGTATTTATAATTTTTTAAAAATTTGTCACCATTTCCTGTTGATTTTGTAGACTAAAATAAACATGACTTAAAACATTTGAAACACACTCAGATGGCCTAGTGAAGCTTTGCTTCAAAAAAGAACAATAAAAATAATTTCACCAGTTTTTAGGTTTGGTGCTATATAGCATAATCCTTAGCAAGTTAATTTTGAAGCATGTGATCCAGGTTGCTTTACAGAGTGCTCCTCAGTCTTTTGATCCTTATTGTAAAAAGGAAAGCTCACAACATAACTACCATAAACTCAATGTGGTTATGTTCCAAAATAAACCCTATAAACATCTTTGTTTATGGGATGAGGTTAGAACAGAGATGCTTAATGGTCTCGAGGTGGTATTCTTACACAGAGAAGGCTTGACACCACACATTGAGTATATACTGGAGAAAACAGTAAAAAAGCTTCCCAACTGTATCCTGGAAAGTACAGTGGTGCCTTGCAAGATGATGTTAATTCGTTCCGCGAAAATTGCTGTCTTGCAAAAACGTCATCTTGCGAAACGCGGTTCCCCATTGGAATGCATTGAAATCTACTTAATGCGTTCCAATGGAAAAATCATCATCTTGCGAAAATTGTCCATAGAAAACATTGTCTTTAGAAGCGCAACAGCGATCGCAAAAACTAATCGTCTTGCAGATTAATAGTCTTGCCAGGCACCACTGTATATCTTCTCCTATCTGTTCTCAGCAAATTCACAGAGTTCTCTTCATACTTTATTTCAAAGCTTGTGAACCAGCTGCTTCGCATCAAAGTGAATGGTTTGGCTTTATTTTTGTTTTATTTGTACACAAGTAGCTACAGCATTAGACACGTAGCAGCTACTGATTCTGGTTTCTTTTTTCTTTAGAAATATAATGGTGGTAGGCAGATATGTCTTTCTATCCCTACTCTCCCAGGTTGCTGAGTTTGCCACTAAACAACTTACTGACATATTTCTCCTGGAGTGTGCAATAGGAAAGATGACTTCACAGGTTTTGAACTTTTCTGAGGCTGCACATTCAAGCATGATTTTACAATGTGAGTATTTAATGGCTGTGAAGGTGTGGTAGGGAGACGCGGAGTGGGGCAATGGAAGCCTGTATCTTTGGGAAAACTATATCTGATGCTTAGGGGGTCTGAGAACGCTCATGCAAACACTTAAGTGTTGGTGGATAATGTGAGCTTTGATGACATTTCTGAGGAGCTTTATGAAGGCATGAATGTTCCTTCCATGAGCAGAATAGGAAACATACCCCACATAACAGTAAGAGAGACTTAAAGTAGCTTAATAGCTATACGATTGAATACATTTGTCATCAACTGGCTTTAACTTTGCTGTTGCCACTAATCACCATATATCTTAGCAAAAGCAGAATCGTATGATGAGTATTTGCCCCCCCTTTTTTGCATGTGCCAGATGTTGAAACAGGACAGGGAGTAAGCCTCCACTTTCTGGCTCTGAATTTGGAAAGAGAGGAGGGGGAAAAGTTGCTACTATCATTTTTCCTAAAATGAAATCTGAAGAGAATTGGAGTGTTCTTACGTAAAACGTTCTCTGAAATTATTTAGGGGAGCGAAAGTCATTTCAGTAAGGTCAAGAGAAATTCTCAAGGCATTCCTATGTTTTAGATCAAGTAACATTGGATTCTCAGTGAGAGGCAAGCTCCAATGAGAGTTTTGCTCCCATTTGAATGGTGGGCATGACCAGATGGGATGATGGCAGTTCCAGTTGGAGTCACAGTAGAAGGAAAGGGTAAACGTTCCTTTTGCTATAGTTCTGATCTGCCTCATTGATCACCTTATGTGTCAGCCATTATTAAAGTAAATAAATTAATAAAGCATGTAGAGCAAACAACACAGTAGCCCTCAATCCTTCCTGGGTCCCTTCTTCTTTTTTCAAGGTTTGATATTCGATATTCTGCTCACCCAATTCTTTAGCCTTGAGAAGGAACAGCAAGTTACCTCTGTAAACATTCCCATGGGAGAGTTCCATCTGAAAACTTTTACAGAGGTGGTAAGCAGAGAAATGTTTTTATGACGTGGATACAGACCTGACTGCCTTGTGTCTTCTCTCTTCTGCAATATCAAAAAAAGTTACACTCATACTTTTCTCTATGCTAGGGCAGAGACAGACTTATTTTGGAGAATGGCGGACACATAAATAAGCAGTTACCTGGCAGGACCATGTTGCAATTATGGGCAATTGATCTTAAACTCATCAGAATCCATAACTCCTTCTGATGCAATAATACACACCTGTGAATTATTCTGTTTTCTTTCACACTTTGCTTCAATAAGTAATTTGACCTACTGTGAAATTATTCTTCTAGCCTTAGGAATTTTCCCTCAACACTGGGTTTCTCTTTATATTGGTTCCTCCACAGTACTATAGACCAAGAAAAGACGATGGTTCTCATTCGTCCTTGAAGTAACCTTTCAAAAGTTCTCTTTGCAACCTCTTCAGACGGAATTTTTAGTTGAGATATTTTGTTCATTTAAGGCTGAAAAAAGGACTTGATCCCCCCCCCCCGAGAGGTCCCTGCTGTTTACTTCTGCAGGCTTTCCAGAGCAGGTGGCATGTTGGCATTCAAGGGCTGGATATGATTATGAGAAGGGGAAAGAGTGATGGGAAATTGTTGCATGTGTAATCCAAATCTGCCCGAAGATGGCAGCAGAGTAAGCAAGTTTCAGATTTGCTTCCCACTGCCTGGCATATTTAGAAACAGAAAATAACACATGAATGATTGGCAGGAGACATAGCTTTCAATGTAATCTAGTGGGGTATTGTTATGTTTTGGTTTAGTCAGTTAGCTGTCACCACCTTTTGTTATGCAGATGAGAACGTACTTCATGCTGTATTATATTTCTTTCCATTTTAAAAAACCCACCAAATGTTAAGTGATTTAACTATGTTTGGTAAAAGGCCTCAACTTAAAGAAATACTAAGTTCTTCCCTCAGTTCTCCTTTTTCATCTAAATTTTGGGAGGACTCTTTTATGTGTCTTTCAGACATTAGATGTAATCCTGACGGAACTGAATAAAGTGGTAGAAGAGGACATGGAAGATCTCTTGATATGTGAAAGAGCAACTGGGGAAGAAAGGGTATGTGTGCATGCAGCTGGTTTCCATAGAGGCATTTTGAGCGACATACTTTCATTAGTGTTCAGAATGTTATTAACGTGATAAGTATCCACATAGATAAAACCATAGGTCCATCTTGTTCAGCATCAGCCAATTTCCCCATGGAGGTTAGCCAAGTACAGAGAGAGGCTCTTGGCCAAGGTGGAGATGCTGACAGCAGCAAGCAAAGTGTTGGAAAAAGTAGTTGTGGGCCAAAAGCATGTTGCCTGATGCTCCCCAAGCTAGCCTGCTGCCTTATGTGTTTTCACTGAAGATATAACACCCTCTGAAGATAATATTTCATATCTGGTCACCAACCACTGGTGCTGGCTTGACGGCTGGATAAAAGGTAAAGGTAAAGGTTACCCTTGACAATTTTTGTCCAGTCGTGTTCGACTCGAGGGAGCGGTGCTCATCCCCGTTTCCAAGCCGTAGAGCCAGCGTTTTGTCCCAAGACAATCTTCCGTGGTCACATGGCCAGTGCGATTTAGACACGGAATGCTGTTACCTTCCCACCGAGGTGGTCCCTATTTATCTACTCGCATTTGCATGCTTTCGAACCGCTAGGTTGGCAGGAGCTGGGACAAGCAACGGGCGCTCACTCCGTCACTTGGATTACGACTGCTTGGTCTTCTGACCCTGCAGCACAGGCTTCTGATGGCTGGATAGTTGGATAGATATCTGGCTGTGGAGCCAGAGACCGAGAGTTCAATTCCCCACTGTGCCTCCCAGAACAACTGGTCTGCGTGGCCTTGGGCAAGCTGCAGAACCCCAGGATACCCACAATGAATTATCCTCTGTTCCCACAGAAAAGGTTTAACTTTACACAGCTGATGGCCTTGAGTTAAAGTCTGAATCATTATCTCTCTGATATGCTTCATTTACAGAAACTGAAGTATGTTAACAGAAGCTCCTAGAAACTGAAAAGGGAATGGTTAATACTGTATAAGGTAATGATCCTTCAGAATGGAATTGTTAATGAAGTGGCTCCCCAGGTTTATCTGTATTGTATTTTTTGAATGTGATGGACTTAATTCATTATATATCTTTCCTGTACTTATTGATGTAAACCTGCACTTAAATTTGTACTATATTATAATGCAATATTTGAAAGAATAGAGAGCAAAAGAGCTACTGATTAATGTATTGTTTTCGCGATGTCTATGCTTCTTCTGCGGATACTTACATATTTGTGTGTGTGATGGATATTATTTTATGTTTATTTTAATTCCCCCTGTGATTCAAGAACAAACAGGATACAAAATGTTTGAACATGACATTTTAATTAAGAATAAACATGTTTAAATTATTTGGCTGCACGTATAATAGAGAGGGATAGACGGCTCATCAAAATTGGATAAAGGCCATGATGACAGAGATGAGGTGGTGAGAAGACAGCCAAGCTATGCAGAGCTCCCTTGCTGAGCTGCTTATTGAGTTCAGGGCTACCAAGTGAGCACAACAAACCCCAAAAGTAGTTCACACTGAAACATATGCTCTAGCTATACTAGAAGCCTATAATCAGTCCCAAACTTCATGGCTTCTTCATAAAGGAATTTGGAGATGGCTAATGGGTGAGATGTTGGCTGTTATTTCCTACAGATCCTCAGGCACATTCCTTTTTCAGGACTACTACTACCAGGATTTCCCAGGAAGAAGAATATATACATTAAACCAATGTCAGTCTATAGTCTGGATAGTCCATAGGACATCAAAGCTTTATGGCATGCAGCACCTGAGGCAGTTCTTTTGATGGGCATATTTCTGAATACACTAGACTGTGTTTCTCCAAGCCCCTCAACTGGAGCACAGTCAAAGTGAATTTGCTTATTTTGCTGATCCCTTTAGCTCAGGGCAGGGGAGAGTGGAGGAATCAAAGTATCAGTTGGTCATTCTGTGAAGAAATTGGCCATTGGCACGGCCATCAAGTAAGAAAACAAACAAGGTGCAAGAGCCACAATCAAAAGGATGGGGGTGGGTGGGGAAAAACTTCAGAGAAGTTAATGCAGAAGGATCAGTTCTTACACTTTAGGACACCTGATCCATGATTACTAAGTGCACCTCATCCTTTTACTGTTTTCCTTCCTAGAACAAGTTATTAAGCAGGCAAGATTGTTTTCCTCCTTAAGCATCAAGAGCAAATGGAGACTCTGCTAAAACATTAAGACCAAGGAGCATACCCAAAGGGGGAAAAACTTAATTGACTATTTGCTATCTATCCTACTGGTGATATCCCTGATGGTTTAGGAGAGTCTGGTGCCCTGTTAAATTTTTTGCAGCTTTATTAAGACCATTTAACACAGGCTGACAACTCCAGCGCAGCAACAGACATAATTGTTGTCGTCGACGGCGATGATCGACACGTGCAGGTTTGCATGTGTTTATACTATGGGGGTTCAGAAGGACTGGAAGAAATGACAGTACTTAAAACAGAAGCCATGAATTAATTACGAGGTTGGGTTTGACTTATAGAGAAGATGCCATAATAATAATAGCTGGATGCAAATAAGTGGGAGTTGCCTGGCTTGAAGCCCGTCTGAAGAGCTGGTTGCTAGAGGAGGAGAAGAAGAAAATATGAATGAACACACGAGTCACATTTTAAGGAAGCAAAATCCACTCTTCTGATATCAGCTACTCAGCTTTGTTACATATTGCCCTAAGCTGCCAGTAAGATATCAGTAGGAAAATAAACGTGTGCCATAGCTGTGATATTTAATTAATTAAGGCTGCAATCCTAGACTTTCTGTCTTGGAAGTACTCTCCTCCATTCAGTGGGACTTATATCTTAGCAGATAAATAGATATCACAGTAGATTTTCTTTTTAACTAAAATACTGATTAAAAATTGCAGTTAGCATACACATCTTAAATGAAGCTCCCCCCTCTTCCACCTTTCTCACATAAGTAGGCTGATCCTACACCTATTAGGACAAGTGTGTAAGTTATCCAATTCAGTCTGAACTTCAGCATTCTTCACCCTAACTGGGAAGCCACTGACAGATCACACAACACTGGGAAGATGTCTGATATGGCCACTTAATATGATCATAAGAACATGTTGAGAAGGAGAGGAGGAGGTATACTGGTAAAATATACTGAAGGGAGAGAACATTTAAAAATATTTATGGACATTTGCTGATAATGATGGTACTAAGAATGCCTTAATGTTCTTAAGGGAATCCATCACCTCTACAACTCCTTCCATCTTCTTGCAAAGTCCCTGTCACACAGCTGCATAGTGGGCCATCCACCTGGCTTGTGCATATCTGCTCACAGCCTCCATTGTCTTCACACCAGTCCAGGTCTAAGATACAAGAATTTGAGGAGGGGGAGTAAAACAAAAACCTGTTGCAATAACGAGGATTTAGCTTTGGATGGAAACAACACAATAAGGAAATAAATGAACAAAGAAGTTTACAAATGCTTCATATTAAGCACTTGGTTGAAAAACAACAGCATGCTGATGTATGACAATAATGCTCGTGTTAATTCTGTCTTGTCACTAAAAAGTTTTTCTTTGCTGCATTGAGGACTAGAGAAAAACTTATTAAAGCAAACAAAGGTGGGACTTTACGTTACATCCTGGATTCTGCAGCCATTTTCAGATTTTATGATGTAGCTATGCAGTGAAGTGAACCCAATATCTACAGTAAAGCTGGGATGGGTAGGGGTGGAAACGCACTTACGCTTTCTCCTGATCGGGCCCACAGAGATGATCTGCTCATTTAACTCTTTGGTATAGTCGCCGGCCCTTCGGGTATTCTGAGGACAGTTCTGAGAAAGCCAAAACAGAGAGAGAGGATTAGTCTCGTGGTTTAGTCATTTAGTCGTGTGTGACTCTTCGTGACCCCATGAACCAGAGCGCGCCAGGATTAGTCTAAGTGCCTGTATTTTAGAAATCAACTCAAGAATCCTAAAGGTTTCACAAAGCCAAACCTACTAGAGCAAAGCTTTTCAGAGTTTGGGGACTACAACCAAGAAGTCTGTGCCATCTCATCAGGCCTCCTCAGAATACAATTTCTATGTAAACCCTTTAAACCTACAGAGTCTGGAACAGTGTAAAGCTCCATGCTACCTACTATTTTGCATGAGTATCTTTCTGAGTCGCAGAGTGAGACTGCACAGTGAAGGTGAACCTCATCATAATCTCCAATGAACTTGAAAACAGTGACATGGAAGCGGCAAGTCAACGACACCCCGTTCTCTTCGATCCCAATGGTGTTGTCCTTTATATTCTGACAACTGAAACACAGAGGTTCATTAGCACAGCTGACAGACATGTCAAAGTCATCTTTTAGAATTTCAGGGAGAGAAGGCGGAAGAAGAAAGAGGCCACTCACCCTTCTTCTATGATGAAATATCTGAGCTTGTCATTGCTGTCTCTTGAAGGTGTTGCATAACATTTGTTCAACATTAGGATGAGATGAGTTGAATCTGCCCCAAGTACAAAGATACCAACATACAGGATATCACGAGTGGTTAAGACCACCTCTCCTTGACGATAGGGATGCTTATAGGATGAGTTTTTATACAACGCCATTTTGGTTGTGAAACTGCCTTCCTGTGTGGGCACTGTCAAATTAATTACACTGGAAGAAGGGGAGAGAGAAAAACATACTTAAGAATAAATAGAAAAGACAGAAGGGTCTTTGTTTTATTTAAAACATTTACAACCCATCCTATATTACAAGATTGAAAAAAAAAATAGACACAAACTTGCTGATCTTGAAATGGAAGTCTAAATTTCTCTCAGTTTATTTATTTACTTAAGCTGTGTATGCTTCCCTTCAAATACATTATCAGAATGACATATGCAATGCTAGAACAAAAAGAAAATAAAATGCCACAAAATAACTAGCACATTAAAATGAATTAAAATAACATCTCTGCAGAAGCAGCATTCATGCAAAGCTAGATAAGTTGAAAATCGATTGGTATAAAACTCATTTTGGGGGTTAATTTGGATCTGGCCCATTTTTGTAAATGGGTTGAGATACAAAGATCAAGTTGTTATTGTTACTAACAATAAACAGGGTTTTTCAAACAACTGAATTAGGTTTCTTGAATAAAGAATTTAAAAATACTATAAACCATGTGGATTATATTTCTCAAACAGCGAAATGACCTGTTCTTCCTTCTTCAAGCAAGTATCATGGACCAAGTTGCTCTCTGTCACCCCCTTTCCCAATATTATAAAGTTCCCAAATCAGTGAAATTTCTTTTGTATGAACATCAATGATCTTCACATATTTTGCAGGCATGTATGCAAATATATGAGAACTCAGGATACTTTATAGCAGTCGTAATTGGACAGTTATAGGGCTATTACATGTCTGTACTGAGAAAGGACGTGGAAAACACAAGCCGGTGAGATGAGGTTCCTCTAACCAACCCTCCACCTGAACACACAAAGCACACACAGGAACAAGGAGTTAGTCTTTACCTGAGCATTGGCCTCACTACAGAATCCAAAGAAATTTTGATGTCAAGTTCATAAGCACATGAGAATTCAACATTGATGGTTCGGTCACGGGTAATTATGTTCCCTGTGTTGTTGGCGCTTTCAATCCAGACAGTGTTTTTATACATTATGTGGGTACTGTTCGACTGAGAGAAAAAACATTGGGAAGAGGTAAATTTGCTAGAAATAAAGACAGAAGCCTTGACAGTGTGTACGTGAAGGATAAGATAATTTGGAAAAAGAAATAGAGCTTCAAGCTTCCATCAGTGGTAAATTAATTAACTGAAACTGTAGTGACTATTCTTTATGCCTGGAACTGCCTCTGGAAAACTCTGATGACAGAATTTCTTACTTCCTCCAAAACTTGTCTTGCCAAGCATCACAGTTATTCCTCCTACCCTGCTCTAACAAAGTTTAAATACACATAACTGAGATATATTATTGCCCATATATATATAGTCCATAACTGTATGGAGGAAACTCAACTCTATGATTCTTTCTTAGCAGACACCAAGGAGACTGTGGAACTCCTGAATCACTGTCTGGATGTAAAGGGGGATTAGATGTGGGTGAATAATATAAAACCTCATCCAGACTAGACAGAGGTTCTGTAGGTCGACTAACAAGCCAACCTGGGTGTGTGTTTACAACCTGTTCTGGATTAGTTACACTGAACCTGAGGATTGTAGTTTGACTTCTTCATTAAACTACTGTAATGCACAGTAGGTGGAAACAACCTTGAAATGTTTTTGGAACTCTCAGCTAGTGCAAAAGGCCAACTGGTAGAGCAACTGGAGCTGTAGTTGACAAATGTTTGAGAGACACAAGTTACCTAACCTAAATATGGTTAGGTAACACAATTGTTAGGAATACATTGTTTTGACTGCAGTTTATGGTGTTTAATGATGTCAATGAGTCAACCCCAGAAGATTTGATGAACTGAAGAATACCAATGATATTAGAAGTAAACCTGAGGTCCCCAACCATTCTGACCTGCACAATGTTTCCACAGTTGCCTTTGGTATTATTGATCTGGAAGGAGATAAAATCCTCGCCTTCAATGCCAGGACACTGGCGGTCATTGATACGCACTCCCTCTCTTTCAAAGCCCAGCTGGAACAGTTTGCACTTTGAGATTGAAACTTCCATTTGTGCAGCTTTGCAGGTCACTTCAGCATCCAGGATATCATGTGTATCTGCAAAGAACATCATGATTGTTAAGAAGGCAGGCAGGAAGGAAACTACATATAATTGTGTTAGGTGGCTGGGAAAAGTCCTTAGTACTACATTTTCAGAGTGTTAAAAAAACACAATATGGCCAAAAATGGAACACAGAGATGTAAATATTCACAATTCATTTCGATTAAAGCCTCACTTCTGATTGCTCCACTGTTTTTCTGTGATTCAGGAGAGACTAGGATGGTCTGCTTAGCTGTAACTTAATGCATTAAAATGGAAGTGACTGGCACCTGGAAATAGCTGGTTGCATATATTAATGGCTAATCTGCTTTAAAACTGACTTATGTTTAAATCCAAGTACTGGCTGCTATTTTCTCAAACTGCAAAGCGTGCTGTTAACCAGACAAAGGGAACAACTAGTTCAGTTTTCTTTTTTCATCAGCTTCAAGTACAGCACTGAATATTTTAGACGAGCCTCCAGACTATATTTCTGAACACAGGCCATGCCAGTAGGGGTTGATGGTCATTATAGTACCAAAAAAAAAAAAATCTAGAAGGGCACTCGTAGAGAAAGGCTGCTTTAGATAGTACAAACTGATGCTAAAGCCTTAATAACGATGTTTTGATGGACCAGAGCCAAATGCAAGGAGATGTAATCGAATGGAAGCAGCAGCTATACAGCTTGGAGGGCTGTCTTCTTGTGTTTGAGGTGACGCCCATCCTGAGCAAAGTTTTCTACCAGCTTAATTAGGGCCAGATGTGGCCCTTCAGATGTTGAAGTGATATCATCTGATCTGTGTGTGGTAATGGCTTTAATATTTGGCAGTAGTGTTTGGTTTGTCACAAAAACAGTCTCTAGCTCATTCTTGGTGATGGTCTGCCACAACTAGATGTCCCAAGCAAGGTTCTCTAATATCCCCTTAATGAAATAAGTTAACTCCCCTTTTCATTCCAGGTTTGTTGGATAGATCCAAGCTTCACTTTCCAGTGCTCTTGGACTGAAGCCACAGTGGGCTGACATTCGCCAAGGAAGAAAGGTGCAAAATTAATTTTTTAAAAAAAAATATTTATCCCCTTAAAAAAAGAGATGTCTATGCCTTTGTATGGTATTAAGATGAAGCCTCAGAGCTAAAGGTAAGCTGAAAATAAGGCTGGATAAAGCAACAGAAATTCCACTACGGGAAACAATCTGGGGTTGAGACCCAGGGGAGAAACACAGATGAATTAATGGGCCTTTTTCAAGTTGCAAGGGACTGATTAACCACTGAGTTAACTGAAGCATAAGCTTCAGTTATTGGAGGTAGACCAAAATGTATCTCAGTTGAAGATTTAAAATCTCTATGACTGCATGTAACTTCATCCCCCAACTATTTAAATTAGGAATTTCTGTCATATTGTTGGATCTCATTATAATACCATGATCTAATAATATCAACACTCACTCATAAACAAGAATAAATTTACTATCCCAACATGCCTACAAACTGACATGCCTACATCTACATTGGCTTGGGAGTGTCATGAGAATGGCTGATGGTTGGATTCCAAAAGATCTCCTATATGGAGAATTAGTGCAGGGACATCGCCGCAGAGGGAGACCACAGCTGCGATACAAGGATATCTGCAAGCGGGATCTGAAGGCCTTAGGAATGGACCTCAACAGATGGGAAACCTTGACACCTGAGCGTTCAGCCTGGAGGCAGGCGGTGCATCACGGCCTCTCCCAATTTGAAGAGACCCTTGTCCAGCAGGCCGAGGCAAAGAGGCAGTCACGAAAGCAGCAAAATCAGGGAGCAGGAAAGGGGACAGATTGAATTTGTCTTCAGTGTGGAAGGGATTGTCACTCTCAAATTGGCCTTCTCAGCCACACTAGACGCTGTTCCAAGTCTAGCACGTTACCATGGTTTCTTGAAACTGAAGGGTGCCTAATCTAAAAATCTACAAATTGATGCCTGATTATTTGTAAACTAACAGGTGAAAGATATAGAATAAAAAGCTTTCCCTAGTATGTAGAACTGATAGCTCTTGCAGAGAATAAAACTTAAGTTAACACGAAAATCATTTCTGCAATACTTGAAATTAAGAACACTGAAGGGGAGGAATGAGTGTGTTGAGTTCTTGTAGTCCAGCTGGTTTTCTCACAGAACAGTGGTTCCCAACCTTTCGTCCCCAGACGTTCTTGGACAAGAACTCCCAGAAATCATGACCAGAACAGCTAGTGGTGAAGACTTCTTTGAGTTTTAGTCCAGAAACATCTGGGGACCCAAGACTGGGAACCACTGCTCTAGAATAGGAGATGAGAAAGAAAGGAGGGAACAGGCTGTGCTTGAGGGCATGATGCCAGTTGCAACACATTAAGGACGTTGTGCCATACACAGTGGACTTGCTGCTGCTTGTGACGTCTTGTACATCCACTGCCATCTTTGCCTCATATCCATGCTGACACAATGGCTGTGTGAAGGTGACAGTGAGCATACATGATGCATTAGGCTGCAAGTTTCTGACAAAGGAGAAAGGCATGGGATTTTATTATTATTATTTCTTGGGCTGCAGATCCAATACTTTTCCATTCTGGGATTCTACCTAACACGCACATGTCTCCAAACACCAAAATGTGGCTCACATGAAGAAAAGGCTTAGCCAGGCTTCATGACTTAGCATCTATCCTAGCTTCCTGTTCGGAAAGGAAACTCCAAGCTAGCAGTGGGGCAGCCTCATTCCTGAACAGGAAGCTAGGGTAGAACTAGGCTATGCTAAGCCACAAAGGCTTCCCAGCTAGGCCTTTTCTCAAGATGAGCCACAGTTAGGTGTCTGCAGCTGTGGGCCTGTCAGGTGGAATTCCCAGAATGGATAGTTATGGGTTCTGTAGTACAGGGGACGTAAAAATCCTATACCTAGTAGAGAGTGTAATGACTAGTGATACAGCCTGGATCATCTCTGAATGTATACATACTCCTGTATAAAGTAAAATAGGTTAACAAGAAAGCATTAAGGAGTGGCATTCCCCATTACATAGTCACTATAGGATTTTCATAATGAGAACTCACTGTTTCCATAGGGGGGAGGTTCAATACAGCCACATAAGTCTCCACCGTTGTCTACCTCACAAGTTCTGTTGGGACAATCTGCCCCCACACAGGGGTCTTCAACCACTCCTGCTAAAAAGGAAATGGGAGAAAAAACAGCCAAGGACAACCTATTTATTTTAAGACCTGTTGCATGCGCTGCTGTTTGTTACTTTCTGCAGAAGATGCCCACCATAAACACTATCATTATTTAAAAAAAAAAACACACACACATTTGCTGAATTTTTCTACTCCTGGAAGTAATGAAAAGGAAATAGTCACAAATCAGGACTGGTGAGAGGTTTACCTTAGCAGATACTTAGGTTCTTAAGCACTAAGAAGTTCTCGGGAGCTAAAGAAATCACCTGCCGACATTTGCAGTAACCTCTTAAAATTCTGCACAAAGGATGTGCACAACTGGAATAAACTTGAACCAATAGAAATGGCACTGGTTCCTGTGTTTACCAGCCTTTGATTCGTAGGGTTGAATAAATTCATGGGGCAGAATCCTGTTCTGTCCTTGCATAAGTGGTTTGATATTTGAAGAGTCTGAATTAGAAGGTGTCTATTACCATCTCACACAAGTGGAATCCCTGTTGGTTTGAACAGATGTTCCTCTGAATCTCTCCTTGTGCAGCTTAAGATAAGCAGATGTACATTGATGGAGCATTATGCTCTGCTGGCATTCAGCAGGATTTTGTCCATAGAGATCTAGTTGTGTTAGATCTTCATTTTGAGCCCTAGGCAGTCTTTACCTACCTGGTTGTTAGCAAAACATGTAGAGAGGAATGAGCCTTTTCCTTCTGTGTTGTTGTTTCCCCCATATGGAGGGTTATGTGTCTGAAGAGGAGAAGCTCCTAATCATGTTTGACCATACTTGCAAGCAAGAACCTAGAAGACCTGCGAAGCATATATGTGTAAGCAGCAGTTTCCTCTCTCCAGACACATCGGACTCCAAGTGGAGAAAGCAGTGGTGGAAAAGGAAAGAACAAGTTGCTCATCTGAAATCTTGTTGATAACAACCAGGAAGGCAATGATGGAACAGGGTTGCTGCCCTCATGAATTAAGAGAATGAAGAACGGCAACCCAAAGTAAGAAACAAAGTGGGTGACTCAAGTGGCTATGATAGCTGTTTATTGGTTCAGTCAACTAAATTCCAAAATCTTAAAGAGTGGAAAACTGTGCTCAATTTGGATTTTCCCTCTTCATCCTCTAAATCATGTGCAGGCAATTTTGTTTTGGGAGAATAGCAATCTTGCATGCACTAACACTGGGTAACAATGGAATGGGGTTCCACAACATTTATTGTGCTTGGGGGTCAGGAATGAATAGGTGGTGAAGTGGTTGGTTGAGAGCAGCTGTGTCTCCTGTTGGTTTAGCAGAATGCTTGAAAAATTATTTTCCTGGCAAAGAAAAACTGATTGACAAAGACTGAGAATCCCTCAGAGGAGGGCAAAACTCAGCTTGGTTCACTTACAGCAATTTTCCTTCTCAATCCATTCTGTGCTGAGGATCCCAAGGGAACGGCAGGCTTCCCCATAGGCTGCCAGAGAGCCACAGAGCTGGTACTTCCTCTGATTGTAACACCCATCAAGAAAACACGAATCATAGAAGGGCAGTGGGTCCAGCAGTCCATAACAAGGCTGGAAGAAACCTTTCATGTCGGTCAGTTTGAGGCAGTAGCTCTCGCTTTGCAGGACCTGGATCTGCACGTTGTCACAGGCGGCGGCATACTGCGAGTACTGGAGCTCATTGCAGCTGGAAAGACAAAGACAGAACATTTTAGGACCCACAAGCTGTGCTAGAAACCATGCAAAGGAACACGGTATCAGCAGTTGTTGGGACGAGAACCAGACACTGTGCATGGCTACCATCCGGGAGACCTCCATTTTGGAGTATATTTCTGTTCAGTGAATAATCTCTAAGAACTGGAACAGTTCCAGCAGTTCAATCTAGGGACTGACTCTCTTTTACAGGACAGGCTACAAAGACTTCCTGTTTCAGCTGGAACTTTAGTGACATAACCATAGTTGGGATCCTGCTATTTCCATTTCAATCCCTAGCTTTTTGCAACAGATCCCAGTGGGGGCTCTTTTTCCCCCTTACCCTTCACTAGTACAGGGGTTAGCCATATTTGGTCTTTTAATTATTTTGGAATTCAACTCTCAGAAGCCCCAGACAGCACATCTAAAGATCTGAGATTCCTAGAGGTGAGGTCAAAAACATCCAAAAGGCCACTAACCTGGAAGAACATCTGGAGACCCATTAACCCAGATGAAGAGAGAATAAAATCAACCTCATCTGTTGGATGTGTGAGGATAAGAGGCTTGGGAGCAACTTCAGCCTCCAGCATGAATCCTTCTCTCACCTTTTATGCATGCCATTGGTTTTCCAGCTCTGTGCAAGGAAGACACTGCTGACAACCGACTTCCCTCTCAGGGTGACATAATCATCTGTACGGTCACCATTGAAATTCCCGCAAAGACCACACACTTTATTCTGCAGGCGTTCACTGATGGTAATTTTGATAATGTTGAAACCATTGTAATGGATCTGGATATCTGGGCTTGTGTCAATCACCAGGAAACCCTCCATGCTGTAGATTTTGGTTGATAAACCGGTCACAAAGGGGACATTCACCTCTGTCCCATTCACCTATTTGTAGAAATAAATTTGGCTAATTGATCAGCTTCTTGGCTCCCTTTCACCACCACTAAATTCAAATTATACAATTGCATTATAATGTAACTTTTGGAAAATTTCACGTTTTTTACAATCTGTAGTTTAGATCACATGTCATTGGATGCTTATGCTACTCCTATCCCACAACCCAGCTCAGCCTTAGATCAGCTGAGAGATTTAGCGTTTCCCTCAAAATCTGGGAATTACATAACCTGGATTTTAGAGTTCATTGTTCCAATTTCCGAAGCATTTCATGTGTTCTGTAATTTTCGAATTTGCGAGAGGAATAAGAGCGTTCCATGAGAATCTTGGTCTCCAGTTCACACAGCAGAGACCTATGCTTCTAATTCTACAGGCTACAGATTCAGATCCTAGTTAAGAGTCAAGAGCAACAACTAGCATTAACTCTAGCATATCATCATTTCCCTAGAGTTGAGCTTCATATGCTTGAGGAATCAGATTACAGGCTCTGAGCAGAGAAGTGATTCATCTTCACTACAGATGCCAGATGGACCCCACTCTTCTCAGTGCAAAGTAATGCAAGGAACTCCCAGACCTTATCCTTTCATTATGTTTCTAATTTGAGGAGGACACATGGCCACCATCCATAGATTCCAAGAGCTCAACCCCAGAAGTAGCTGTTGATTGTCCATTAGCACTCTCAAAGCCAATGCTTACTGAGTCAAGCAAGTATCTTTTAAATACAGGATGGCTTTATTGGTGAGAATGGAGACAGCAACCTAGACTGAGCTGTAACTGACATAAAACCTCAGTGAACTCCCAGTGTCTGCTGAAACATAATCCATGGACCTCCGCTCAGCAATACTTGAAGCTGTGAAAGGCCCTGTTTGTGCCTGATTTCCTGAATATCACGCACTCATCTGCTCCCTATCCCAGCTGTGTTTGTCTTCAGGAACACTAGAATCAGCTTCTGGTGGGACCACAAGATGCTAGTAGATTAGATAACTAGTCCTCAACCAAATATTTTGTACTTCAGATCCCTGATCCCCTGGCCTTAGACCATGCTGGCTGGGCTTCTGGGAGCCAGCGGGTGTCTAGAACATTTGGAGGACCACAGATTGAGAACCACTGGATTTAGGTCACCTCCTAAAGCCCCGTGAAGGTAGCACCATCAGTCAACACTGTACCTTGACAGTATTGCGATCAGTGATAAGAATCTGCTCCTCATTAATATAGAAGTAAACTGGTGAGATGATCGTCAGGTTGGGAGAAGACCACTTATCAAAGTTTATGATGAGCTGAAAAGAAACATCAGGCAGTTTCTGGCAGATGGTGGAGAGGACAAAGGCGCAGTTGGCTGGGAATCGGAGGAAAGCACCGTCAAATGTGCGGAAGACTCCTCCACCAGCCGCCATGCAGTAGGAACTCTTTCTACTGAAGCAGCCACGGACTCCATTTTGGAGTGCGCATTCCTCATCTGACTTGCACTGCCGTGGATCGCACTGGATGAGGTTGCGGCGAAAGCAACGGCAGCGTCGGGTGCAGTCACTGTTCCAGAAGAGTTGCTTGGGCTGCAAATGACAAGCAAAAGAGAGGAGGAGAAAAATGTAATTTGAATGGTTTTCCCCCCAAGGTTAAAGCCCATGGTGGATCTCAGGCATTTCATAGCCCTTTCCTGGATATTTAAGGAACTGTTTTCAGATGACCACATCTTTGCATTTCTGCTCTGTTGGTGATTTTATCTTGGTTTTATAGTATTTGGGTTTTTTAGTCATTCTTTTGTTAACATTGTTGAGACATTTTTAACAAACTGCATGTTACCCAGAAAACTCTGGCTAGAGCATAGTATAAAAATTAAACCGCTCACCCTCAAGGAGTTCATTAAGGACTAGAACTAGAGTCAAAAGCTTGTGTGCTTTGTTCAGCATCCTAGGTCGTCCTCCATTTATGTGCATTGACAACTATGATAGGTGGCTAACCTAAGCAGAGCCATTTTAGTTGTAATACCAAGCTGATGGAATAACTAACCACTGGACCCTGCTTGGCTCCATCCTTTTCAATAATACAATTCTTGGGTAAGGTTTGACCTTTCCGAAAGGTTGTGAGGATCATTGATTGCCAGACCTATTTCCCTTTTCTACTGAAGTTAGTGAGATTTCTGCTTTGGCATTGGTTTCACTACGTTGCTTACTGCTTTGATGGTGTTGCCCCTGCTCAGTTCATTCCCTTGGTATTTGCTGCCATTTCATCTTTGTGCACTGTTTTGATGTCTTAAATTATTATCTTGTTGTTATTACATGCTTTTTATTTGAAAGAGAAAGTGAGTGTAGAAATTGTAAAGTAAGTACAAACACTGTATCTTAACTGAATAGCTGTAGAAATAAAATAACCCCTTGCATCATCATGCATGTGTTTCAGTGCACACACTTTCCCCAAACCCAGTTTATTGATATACTTGCATCAGAACACAAAACGTAAAAAGATGATTGTAGGAGCAGTGATGCAAAGTTGTTTGTTTGTCTGTTCAAATAGCCTGTGGCCCACTCACAAATTTTGTTTAGTTGCAGAATGATTTGCTGAAGGGCACAGCAAATTAGAATACCAGTTTTCATTTTAACCAGGAGATGGCAGGCATGTGATATCTGTTTAAACTGATACACTGCAGACTGACTATTGGGGTATCTGATAATCCATCTTGCTAGTGGTTTTGGACATTTAATGTGCCAAAATCTGTCATGGCTGGATGTTCATTCTCCCCTCCCTGCTGTTAGCATACAGACATCCATCCTGAACAGTAATTTCCTTGACTGTGGCTGCATTTTCAATGGTGTGTTGCCTGTGCATTTTGCCAAAAGTGGTTAGACAGTCAATACAAATATAGACTTGTACGCATGATTGGGAGCATCATTCGTACGGAAATTCATATCCTGAATTTTCAGCATGGTATGGGCACATCTGAGGCACCTGTCAGGCTCATTCAAGGATGCATATTACACTTGATTGCTGCAGCATATGTGAAAGACCTGTAACAGATTAGAAATTGTATATTACCCCATCTCACACGTAAACCAAAGGGTGTATTTGATATTTGATAGCAAAGCATCATTTAGAGTGTCTAAATTTATTCCTGAATTCTCCACATACCAGCCTTCTGCTACACCTCATGGTAAACTATTTTGTGCAAACCATAGTTTTCTCTTTAAACTGTCGTATTCCAAGAAAGGCAGGTTCCAGACAGCCCAAAGCCACAGGCAAAAATGTCCAAATAGAAATAAAATGGCAGAACAATGCAAGATACAGGGTGGAAGGAAAACCAAGATCAAGCATGAAGGGTTCAGCTGGACAGCAAGTAAGGGCTAAATCACATATTAAGGCAAGCACACATTTCCTCCTCTTGCATTTTCCCTTTCTGCAAAGGAAATCTTTTTAGTGTCTGAGACATCAGATAGGCAAGCAAAGTGGTTCTATCCCAGTTTATGAATTACAAAACAAAAGCAAGCAGATTTGCCATGAGCAAACTGAGGGAAGCTCACAGATACATTTTTCCTCTCTTTGGTGTACTCCTTCCAGACATAGAATAAGCAGCTCATTTAATGAGGGTGAATCTAAAGTCAACCAAAGTTCGAGACCAAGCGTGCAGGGTAGTCCTTTGGAGCAGGAGCCAGGGAGTCAGGAAGGAGCTGACAGGTGCAGCAGTTTGTAGATGATTTTAATATTATCCTTCCTTGGCCAGAAGTTTGGCTTAAAAAGCTGGGCACCGAGGGCCTCACACAGGGCTCAAATGTAGACATCTTGGTCAAAAGTCTTGCAGAGGAGGAGGCTGACACTCTTGAGGAGTCCATCTTTGCAAAGAGACATTCCTTCACATTTAGCCACAAGTCTTGCTCATGTTATTAAACTACTGGTGCCATCTTGGGCTGGCAGAGAGTATTGCTTTATCTTCTTATTGTTGGGCAAAGCTCTCCACTCTTAGGGTGAGAGTCTAGATCAGTTGGAATTGATGGCTGTCTGATACCCTCTGGCCACAAGTCTTGGGGTCACTTTTGAACATGTATTACCTCCTATGGAGGTGTGGCAAAGAATGGGATCCCGAAGGAGCCCAGGGCTTGGGATTTGTCAAATCATGGCTTGTGCAAACCTTAGTTCAATGCCGCAGAGAACTATAACTTACTATGATCCTAGCAGTAGAAAGAGAAATGGTACTATGCAATGGGAAGATGAAGTAGTACCTCATTGCAAATCTTGGTTTGGTGTTGTGTTTGAATGCTGTAAGATGGAGATCATTCACACATTTGTTTGAGCGTCACCCATAACTTAATAATCAAATGACAGTTGTATACATAAATCTAACCTTCATCTAACAGAAGAGAGAAGGAAACAAAGCAAGCAAGCAAGCAAACAAAAACCCCGTTAATGCTATTTTTAAAATGTTGAGACAGGAGACAGAGAATGGGGAAGTCATGAAACAAGACTTTAGATCAGCCTTTCTAAACCTCAGGTACTCCAGTTGGATTGGATTACAATTCTCATCATCTCCAGGGAGCAGCTGGTTGGGATTGATGGGAGTTGTAGTCCAACATGGTGGGAGAACGTCACACTGGGGAGGGATGTTCTAGGTCATCTGCCTCCAAACTAGTCAACAACACAGCAAGGCCATAGTTATATATTGCTGCTCTCACTCCAAGGTTTTCTTTATACACATCCAGACTGGGGGTTTTAATTCTGGCAACCCAAAAAGAGTGAAAAATTCAAGATCACTCTGACACCTTCATCACTTACAAAAGCCAAGAAATTCAGAATTCCAGTTTCCACAGCAACCTCTTATCCACTCTTCCTACCAAAGAGAAAACTAACAAACATCTTGTTGACCACCAATGTGTACTTGTGCAGAGGAGCACAAATTACATTCCAGCCTCTTGTTATCAGATTAATAGAATCATTGAGCGTATGAGCTTGTTTCTGTGCTGATAAGGGGCTCTGTGGTGCCACATTTTTTAAAGACCGAAGAAAAGCAAGTACAGGAAAGTAAAAGACAAAGGTGGTAACACAAGCCATTCTTCTTGGCAGCCATCCTGCAGTTTGGACAGGTGGAAATGACCTGCCAAAATGTTTTCTGTTGTAAAACTGAAGTAGGTGCAAAGGCCCCTTTTAAAAATAGCCAACGTGGTGCATCATTTCCAGAGTGTTGATATTCTCCAAACACTGAAAAATAAAACCAAGAATACATCTGCAGCACCCGTCTGTTTAAAACAGCTAGCAAGCTGCCTTGTTCCAGATGAGATCCTTTGTACATCTGTCCATAATTATTTATTCTGATTGTTGGTGGCTCTCTTCAGTCTCAAGCAGGGGTCCTTCCTATCAGCTTATGCCAGTGGGGTGACTGGAATTTCTGCAGAACAAAGTTTGTCCCTTCCCAACACGACACATCACAGAAGCATCTACCTCTCTGTCTTTCATACGCTGTAATATTTATTCAGTCATTCCATCACAGTCAGTCCATCCTTGATTTAAGTTGATAGTGTGTTTGCTATTTACACTGTGTGGAACAAATATATTATTATAGTGTGAAACATAACCACAATACATTAAGAATCAGGCTGCCTTGCTGCTTTTGCTTACCCATTGATATGCATATGCAATTGCAACATTTATTAAATGGCTGAAATCCAGTAGTAAGCCTCAACCAGAGTAGGCCCACTGAATCACTGGGGATTGAGCAAGCCTCCAATAGGCCTCCATAAGGCCTCTTGCTTCAGTGGGTCTACTCTAATTGCCACTTACTACTGGATTTCAGTCATTATTTCCCTATCAGAAAAAAGAGGTACTTTCCAAAGTTTCACCTTACCCTCCTTCCTTGATGAAATTACTGTTTCTTCCATTTATTATTCTAGCTCACTGAACACAACAGCCTGAAATATCTTTTCTCTTGAATTTATGTCTTTCATTGATATACACTGGGAGTAGATCTCTGGGATTCAGCAGGGATGCTGGTGCAACTAACAGGGAAGGATCTTTCTCTCTTTCTCTCTGGGTTCAGGCAAATAATGCCACCAAATTATTAAAATTTAATTTTATCGCCCTTTCCTCTGAAAGCAAGGCTGAAAGCACGGCCTCATTACTGGAAATCTGTGCCATCTCATTGTGTGGATTAAACTGATTAATATTACATAATGCAGAGAAGTCTACCAGTAAATACATTGCTTTTCTTCATTATTTGGGGATCGTGCTCCAAGGTAACAGCAAAGAAAGCCAAGGGCTGGCAGCAATGTGAACTAGGCAAGGAGAGGGAGGAGGAGGCTGCCTGTGGCACCCGCAAATTATCCAGAGGAAAATTTCACCCTTTTGAAGAAGCGCCGGCACATTTCCCAAGGGCATTGTGTTTACATCCTCCAAAATCAACCTATTAAGGCAGCAACCTTGTGACAGGCAGATAGAGAGCATTCCATCTCCCTCCACTGGTTTCTTCTTATTTGGAAACTATTTACTATCCAATTCCATAGGCAGCTTAGAGGAGAAAAACACCATAATTTGCACAGTATGCTCTCAAATTCTGGCAATTGTTTTTTTGGTGGCTATTGCTCTTGCTGCTGCTTAAACAAATGTGGAAGAGCTTTATGGGAATGCAGTGCTTCCTATAGCATATAAGGCATAGGCTGAGAACCTCAACATTGTCTTAAAACAGAGGGGCCTTTATTTCTTCTGAGCGAAACATCAAGAACTAGGAAAGCTGCTACCAACCTATACTTTAGATTTGGTGGTGCCGATTGAAATACTCCTCTTTGTTAATATCAAGAAGCTTTAAAATGGGGATTCTTGCCACTTAAAAACCAAACAAAACAAATACACCTTTCGTGTGCTTTCGTTTCCGTCTTTGTGAAAAAGTCACCCACGCCACAGAATATGTGCTTGTTTTTAAGTTAATTAAAAACAGACTTTGAAAATGTAAGCTAAGAAACCCTCAATCACCATTCACATTCCAGTTTACCAGAAGCTCCTAAATGCTTTCACCTTGAATTGAGTATTGCATTTTTAGACTTCACGACAGACAAAAGCACAAAAATGGGCAGCCATGTTTGTTCTTCCAGCTTCATGCAGATCCACCGATTTGTCTTATAGCCTTTTACGATTAACAGCGGAGAAGAGGCAAACAGAGGAAAGACATCCCCTTAGATCAGTTGCCTACCTTCTAGTTGGTCTCCCCAACCAGAAGTAGGTAGACCAGCAGTTTCCCATTTGATGCTTCTGACCATTTTGCTTTCCTGTCCCAACCTGCATGGTCTAAAATAAAGAACTGGGGGACATGCAGTCCCCAAATTCCACATCAACAAAAATTTTCCACCACACCCACAGGCTTACTTCTGTCTGCCAGAGAAAGCACAGGGGTGGAAACAGATCCCTCAAATGTAACAAAATCAACAGGGCTCATTTCAGAGGAAAATACATTTCCGATGGAAGGGCTCATGTGACATGGATCCCATTATTTCTCTTTCTAAAATCTAACATGAGATGAAGCCTTCCCTCTCTCTGAAATGAACACTGCATCTTATATGCCAGTTTCCTCCTTCCTTGCCTCTTAGTGCTGGCTTTGAGTCTGCTTCGGCAGTTGGTGGGCACAGGGAAACACTCCATGTTGAACCAAGTCCATCCATGCTGGTTCGTGCAAAGAAGCCTAGAGAAATAAGTTCACACAAGCTACCCCCTTTCAGCATAGCACATCCATTCTGGAGGAAAGAGGAGGAGAGTTTCAATTTACCTCTGGCACTAAGCTCTAGTTATCACTGGCTTCTTTCTGCAATTCCTGTCCATGATCACCACTGGCAGCCTTTTCCCCTGGCCTCCTTACCTCATAATACTTGCCATCCGAGTAGCAGCCGCAGTTTTGAGGCAGGATGCAGTTCTTGCCATTGAGGACGTAGCCTGGGTCACACTGGCATCCTTCCACACAGTAATGGTTGCAGTCACTTTTCAGCCGGATAGCAGCACAACGGGGTTGGCACACACTCACACAGCTCTCATAGTGACTGTTTGGAGGGCAACTGACAGCTAGAAGAGAAAGGACAAAGCTTCGCAACGTGGCCACACAACCCTACTTGTGGGTCACACTTCTACTTCCTCAAAGTGTAGGTTTCTTGTTTTCTAGAGAGAACAGGGATTGAGAACATTCCTTTTTGATACAATAACTTGGGACTGCTGGAATAGCTCAGTGGTTTAGCTATCTAGTTGCGGAGCCAAAAGCCGGGAGTCCAGTTCTCCACTGGGCTTCCTTGATAAGGGCTGGACTCGGTGATCCATAGGATCCCTTCCAGTTCTGCAGGTCTATGATGATGGGTTGTAATCCAAAAAGGAACTTTTCCAAGTTCTAGCTCTGACCAACCATTTGCAGAGGCAATACAGTATGTCTCTTTCTTGTCCGCAGTCTCATTGCTTGCCTCCAGGGTCTTTATGCGAAGCAAGGCTGTCCTTGAACCAAGCAACTGAGCAGGAATAACAGGACTTACTCCTCCTTGCTCAGCATGGTTGCCACGAACAAGAAAGAACAACTGCCAACATCTTCAGCATGCTTCCTGTAAGCTCCAGTCCTGCTGTTGCTACAAAGGGCAGATCTGAGGCACCCGGAGTGCCCTTGTCTCTGCTCCTTTCCAGCTATTCCCAGGGAGGGAAATCCTGGTGAAAGACTGGTCTCAGCACATTATGGGGACTGCAGTGTCATATAAGGAAGGAGGGAAAACATAAACGGTATATTTAAGATCAAATGGTCCTACAGAAATATAAACATGGCCAGATAATAGGCTCTAATGGTACTCCAAACAGGAGGGCAAGGGATCAGCTTGTGGGTGATGCACTAAAGCAGCCTTCCACGGACTAGTACTTTCAAGATGTTTCAAACTATACTAGCCAAACTGGCTGCAGTAATGGCAGTGCACCAGGTTTGGGAAAAGATGTGTGAAAGGTACAAGTCCCGGAAAGATGGAAAGAAGAGGCAGGTATCCTAAAGTGTATGTGTGTGAATGAACAGTGTTTGTGGCAATGGGATTTGGAAGCACACTGTTAATCATGTGTGTGTGTTTGTGTGTGT